CTTGGGCGTGATGAGACTATCGGCCTTCCGTTTGGAACCTTTTACTGCAGTTGAGCGAGCAGGTGTTGATGGCGGAGGCAAGTTTGGGGAAGTGTTGCCAATCTGGGCTTGTGATGTCGGACGTGCGCGTGAAGAATGGAGATTCGTGGCAGGAAGCTCGGAATCTCGCTCATTCGCATTCTCGGTGTTCTGAAAGTCTCGGAGTACCTCATGGATGCTTGCAATGGTCTCCTCGTCTACTGGTATGAGCTGCGAATATCAATTCATTAGCTACAGATGAATATAGACCAAGTGCTAGCCACTTGCCTCCCGAGTCATGCTATCAATAAGCCCATCATCCCACTGGAAATCCTGTTGCTGCGCGCTTTCCATAATGAGGCCCGAGGGATCATAGAGTGGAGCCGGGAAGGCCTTTGCCATCCCATGCTGCTCTCTGGCGCGGAAGTTAAGGGCATGGTTTTGGCTGTGCCCATGTATGTCAGACAAACCGGGAAGGCTACAGGCATTGTACTCTGTACCTGTTATACTGGTATTGTGGCGTATACTGCCTGTAAGGATCCATTGCGGTCAATACAGATGGAGGACGGACTCAGATCTTTCAGCACTTGGACGCAAGAATAAACAGACTCGTCACGTGCTAAGGGCGGAGGGCGGGAGGCGGGACTCGAGGGCGGGATGGCAGGATAGGAGGAAATCTATTTATGACGCATGTCTCACGGAGAATCTATGGCATCAGTGGAAAAGCCGTCCATCCCTGCAGCCAGCTCGAAACCATCCCATCCCATCCCATCCACTTTAGAATTGAGCACGCCTATGAAGAAAGGCTGTCCAGTTGCATCATGGACGAGTACTCAGATGTGCTGCTATTAATCAAACCCACTGTCCAGCTTCCAGTGTCGTCCAACATTCAGCTTCGGCTAGCTGAAAGAAAACAGCTTTCCATGGCGGAATTATTGTTATTATTTCGGCTGCTGAGTTCAGCAGTTGCAGCGGTTTTGTATCCATGTGTATCTGTTATAGCTCAATCGAGCCCAACCACATCACCTTCTGAGCTGAGACACCATCTATCTACCACCGCCCATTGCGATGCCGTCGAATCTCCTGTAGTCCTTCGCCCGTAAGCTGATATCGTGAGTAGTCTGCGCAGACGATTTGCTAGGACCGGGAATGTTGACACGAATGTGTCTTCCATGGGAGCTTGCGGCCTCTTTGTGAGGTGCGGCGAAATAGTCATGGATGTCTGTGTATTTTCTGTGATCCACATCCGGACGCTTTCCCGCATTGAGCTTGACGCAAAGACAGCAGTCGCAAACTGGACGACCGCCGGCATCGCGCGGTTGGCCGGCCATGAGCCAGGCAAGATGAGGCCCAAACTCCGCAGGCGAGCGGTACTCGTCGTCGTCGTAATGAGGACGGATAAGGTAGAGGTCGTGGCGTTGGGCGTCGCCGAGCCGCGGGACGCTGATCAGCTCATAGCCTTCGGGGAACGACACTAGTCGTCCCTGGACGATGTCTTCCTTTGGCCAGTGTATACCCCTCCTCCGAAGTTCCTGCACCAACACATCTTTCACCAGGTATTCTCCCAGCTTCCTTTTCCAATTCTTATGGCCATTCTCATCCGCACGTACACTGCGAGCGCGTGCGGTGCTACGCTGATTTCGACGGCGGCGGCCCACAGGCGACACTGGTTGAGCGCCTACGTCGCTTGCAGCTTGGTGCAGAGTCGTTACCACAACGTGGTCTTCGACGTCGACACGATACAGTTGTGTGTCTATGTTTATGCTGGGCGACATGGTTTCCGGGTGGTGCTATTGCGGCGGCAGAATAAGGCCTTATTCTCCACCACAATTGATGATAGAACGGTTACTTAGCGTCCCGTGCTGCCTTCGAGGTTTGTTGTGCCTTGGATCAGGCTTGAAGCTTGAAGCTTGATGCCTCGCGTTGGCCGAAATTGGTGAGACTAGGTTTCAACTTGCAGTTTTTATCAAACTCTGCTAGATTGTAGGGTGGAGACGGCGAACAGGATGTTATGGAATATGGATTGAGCTGGGGAATAGTGAACGTTCTGAACCCATTTTTGTGTGGTTCATACCCGCGTACTTTTGCCCGATCTCCGCACCGAACGTGGACAAGAAGCCCTAAAAAAGCTTAATTTGTACACGAATGGACTGTCTATTCTGTAGAAAATGTCGCAGTTATTTGCCATTTTGACACAGTCTGACGTCATTTTGTTGGTCACACGTTTTTTGGCCAGGTTGACCTCCGACTGTTCCTCCCCGTCTCGATGGTCAACGCCGTTCCGGTTTCCCGTAGGCCGGGCCCGCCTCGTTTGTACCCGCACACTGATCGACTACCAGCCGACGGCTGGGTTTGTGTCCGCACAAAATATTGGGCCTCCGGCCAAGTTGTAGCTTTTGCACCTGCATCGGTCAAAGAACGGCCCTCTGAATTTGTACCAGCATCAGATGGGACCTATCGGGAATGTGCAGGGGGGCTTGCTGGAATCCCGAGTGCACAGTAGCGCAGCTCTCAAGGCCACTATGCCGAGAGCGAAGCCCTAGCTTACAGTGTTCGGATGACATATGTAGTGCAGAGCATAGACGAGCTGGAACCTTTATGAGGCTTCTGGGCGAGTGGAAGAACGGAGAATGACTCTTTACTAGTACTGGCAGACAGCGGTACACTAAACAGTTTACAATTTCAATAGTACTTACTAGCCCTTGCATCCGACTAGACTATCTCATTTCGTGAACGAAGATAGGATCTACTCTATGAGCACGCGGGATGTCGAGAAAGCTGTGAAGTCCGGAAGACTCGAGGTTAGATATCACGACGCGTCGCTCAGAATGAAACGCGCTTCCCGCATTGCACGTGACGGCCAATATTTGTTCCAAACAATTGGTTGCGATTTGCTCCGCTCCAATAGCTGCCCGATTTGGAACTCTTGTCCTCTTGCCTCAAGGCCGTGGTCTACGTTAGCTGCATACAACGACGACCGGCATCCTATCTTCAGACGCTGATACAAGAAGACGGTATATAAGTGAGAGAGATCGAAGTTTCACGAAGGACGACGACACTGAGCACTTTCCCGAAAGCATGAGTTCCTTCGTGCACCGCCGCACCACTACAGCCCGACTCAGGGAGAATCCGAACACAACATCTGGTTCAAGCTCCGGCGCCCGCAGGCCCAAGTCGACGGCCTCCGATGCCGCAGTGGACGATGCGCCTGCCCGCGTAGAACCGCACGCCCTTCGCAGGAAGAAGAGCGTCGCCCACCCTGCTGCGTCTGGCTCAGGCACACAGGCAGGCTCTGTGCGCCCTCAGCGTGGTCCAGCACCCATCACCGAGCTCGGCGAGCACGGCCGCAAGTCGGGCCACCGTCCACTCTCACGCTCGTCCGATGTCGAAGTGCAAGTGATGCTGGATCCGCCGCGCTCGCAGCGCAAGCATGGCAAGTCCAAGCGGAAAGACCGATCACATTCGCGGGGCCCGTCGGACAGGCCCTCTGTCCGCTCCTTCAACCCGAATGCACAGACGGCGGACGATGCCGCTGAGCTGCGACATTTGCATGGGTCCGCCGGTATAGAGGAGTATTTGAAGTTGAAAGAAGAGCTAGAAACAATGAAAAAGGTGTGTAACCATACATCCCTTTTCGCAAGTGCGAGCTAACATCATGGCAGCAAGTGTCTTCCTTCAAGAAAAATATCGGGAAACAGTCCAAGGTACGTGTATCTTACTATCCTGCTTAGCTGACCTTGATTAAGGACCGAGTCTAGATTATCGACGACCTCAAGAAGGAACTAGTGTCAGCTCAACAAGTGGGCACCATCGCATTCGTCTATTCTACGAGTCTTTTAAAGCATTTTGTAGTCTCATCAAGAAGAACGAAAGCAAGTCAAGGAGCTGCAGTCCAGATCGAAGAAGCACGATGAGGTGCGGTCTCGAGGATTTATTATATCGTCGTTGCTCATTGTGCTGCAGGCCATTTCCACCATTGAAGCGAACATGAACTGCCAGATTTGCATGGATATGCTACTGAAGCCCTATGGGTAAGGTTTCCTTCGCTCCCCTGACGCTACCGTGAAGCTAACGAACGCATATAGTCTGTCGCCGTGTGGTCATGTGCTGTGCCTCAGTTGTCTCCAGAACTGGTTCCGTACTGCACCTATTGCGGACGACGACATGCACGATGACGACCCCCATGTGCTTTTGTTCCGCAAGAAGACATGTCCTGTCTGCCGCACTGCCGTCCTCGGTCGTCCAATCCCTGTGTTTCTCATCAAATCCATCGCCGCTGCCCTGGAGAAAGTCAGAGACAATGGGTCCTCATCTCCGCGATCTTCTCCGCTCCCTGAGGGCGACCCGTGGGCAGGAATCTTCCCCGAACTCATGTCTGCCGACGACATGTGGGTGGATGATGAAGACGACTATCTTGATGACGACGCAGGCCAAGACTCCGAGGGCGAGGTATTCGCGGACGCTTGGGGCTCAGACGACGGAGGGGACTGGCCTTTCGACGGGTACGGCACTGACGAAGACGAGGCTCCCTATGAAGGCGAATACCTCCCGGCGCGTTGGGCACCTCCTATTCTCGACGTCCACTCGGACGATTACCCGTTCGACGACATCAACGACGAGATGCTGTCTATGCTCCGCCGGGGTGCAACTATGCCGATGATTGAGATTTTTGAGATGAGCTACTCCCATGACGAGGGCCTGCGGGCTATCATCGGCGACAACATCGTCTTCCTCGGCTGGAACATTGATCTTCACCCCACTGACGAGACGGGTGAGGAGTACATGGAGTGGGTGGGGGCCGATGTGTACAACCACCCCGAGCGGTGGGACAAGGAGAGCAATTTCGATGGGACCTGGACGGCGTGGAAGCTCACTCGAGAAGACGAGGACGTGGAGTACCAGCCGACCGACTCTGACGAGTACGAGCCCTACGAAGACACCGTCGACGACTTGGACTAGGTGGGCTGCACAGCATGAGAAGATTCAGTCTAGATAGAAGGACCCCTGTATCACCACATTCCGCGGAACTGCCACTATGTACGTTATGTGTTTGTAAGTCTCTGGACAAATGTACTCTACTCAGCATTCTATCTACACGTCGCTACCCGGGAGCTAGTTCGATCCTTATCATGACCTAGAGTCGGGTCCACACTACGCCCGGTCTCATCAAGCACTTGGTGCACAAGCGTGGAGGGGAGTCGTATCTGACATGATGCGGTGCGGACTTCCCAGACTTCAGATCTTTGTCTTCACGGGCTGCTGCAAGAGGCGCTGTTCAGGAACAGGGGCCTGGCGGGACTGCACGGGGATAGTACTCCACAGCGTCACGTGGCCGATCAAGCGCCATGGCCCAAACGTGCGCCCACTATGACTCCATGCCACAAGAAAGGCAAGGAAAGAAAGACAGGCAGCCGGCAGCGAGGCTGCAAAATCTTTCGTTCGCATCCTCCGAGACCTGTTCCATCGCTCTTCTCAGGCAGAACTTGCAGGCACCGCGTGGGGACATGAAACTGTGCGGCAGCCCATAAGCGGGCGGAACCCGTTTCTCGAAGCGGCTGCTCCCTATGGCCATAATCGCTCAGCGTCCGAGCACTGCGAGATTTACGCCATTCCACAGGGAGATAACAAAACGCCCTTACTTTCGATGATAGACACTATCCGTCTCTTTTGAGGCCCGACACGGCCTCGGCGGTCTATTGACGGCCTACTCTCCAACTGCTCATTTTTTCACCTGAGCCGGTGCCAAATTTATCGGTTCCACAGCGGCAGTTTCTCTCTTTAAAAGCAGAAAAGCGACCCACTGCACAGTACACCCTCTGCTCCTGTACGCCCGCGTTTGCGCATCATGTCCACCGCCGCCAGCTTGGAGAAAGGCTTTGGCACAAAACGCTCGGCTCTCAGCGTCCGCGGCTGGGCTCTTGCGGTGCTTACGTTCCAGACGTTGGGTATGTCGCATAGTGCCATAACCGCGGCTTTTATTCTCATACTTTCCCAGGCATCATCTACTCCGACATTGGGACGTCGCCCCTGTACGTTCTGAATGGCATTTGGCCCGCCAACGGGCCAGTGCCCTCACGGGAGGATGTCATCGGTGGCATAAGCGCCATTATCTGGTCCCTGACAATTCTTCCCCTCATCAAATACGTGAGTGTTCTCACTCTCCAGGAAGCGTATTAACCGCCTCACCCGGAAGCGACACGTTTAGGTCTTCATCTGTTTGCGCTTTGGCACCACGGAGGGCAAGTCATGAACTTCCTGAGAAGCAGCCTTGGTTTCTTATCAGTAGAATAGGCGAGGGCGGCACATATGCGCTCTTCCAGGGACTTTACCCGCCCAAGCACAGCGACTTTGACGACGACAGGACGCTGACAGGAGACAGCTTCAAGAGCGAGGCGTCTCACTCAAAACTGTCTACTAAACTATTGTGGCCGCTACTGGTGCTGGTGCGCGTTCATTTCCGAGGAATCGCGGCCGAACGCTGTTCTGACCCCAGCCCGCACAGAGTTTGTTCGGTACGAGTCTCACGCTGGCGGACGGAGTGTTCACTCCGGCAGTATCGGTGACGAGCGCGGTTGGCGGAATTGCGGTCGCGAAGCCTTCGGTTGCAAACGACGTCACGGCGATCTCAATTGTAAGCTCAATCGCTCCACTGTTACTCGTAGCCCGGCGTCTAATATCGGTATCGCATAGGCATTCCTGGTGGCACTTTTCCTTATACAGCATTGGGGAACGTCCTTCCTAGCGTACTTCTTCGCGCCGGGTAAGATTATGGTGCCGAGCAATCGAATCGTGTCGCGCTAATCATCGTATACAGTCACCTTCATCTGGCTGCTGCTCCTGGCGATCACCGGTATCGTCAACATAACTCACTTCCCGGGCATCTGGCGTGCTGTTGACCCCTCGCGGGCTGTCCTTTGTGCGTACGAAACTTACGCAAAATGCTGTTGTATACTCATCGATCGCAGTATTCGTAAGGACTAGGGACTACGACTTACTTGCGGGTATATTGCTATGTGTCACAGGATGCGAAGCACTTTTCGCCAAGCAAGTGCCTGTCCATGCCCGCCAAGCTCCATCGTCTGACCTTTCTCTAGCCTGGGTCAGTTCAACAGAGTGTCGATTCAGATCTCCTTCACTTGCTTCGTCTATCCATCACTGGTGCTATGGTGAGACTGTCATCACCAACATCTTCTACAACTCCATCCCCGGTCCTTCCAAAGGCGGCCTGTTCTGGTTAGTTGCAGCCCGCAGCGTTGTGGAGCATGGGTATTAATGATGTGTGAACAGGGTTATCTATGTCTTCGCTATCCTGGCTACCGTGAGTAAGGAATGAGTCCGTCAAGGAAAAAACTGACACATGTTCCGAACCTCGTAGCTGATTGCCTCGCAAGCCTTAATTACTGCGTCATTCAGCCTCATACAGCAGCTGATCAACATGCGCAATCTACCCGCGTATGTCCTCTGTGGCATATCCAGCGTATCATGAAGGCTGACGTCACATAGCTTCCGCATGGTGTATACGTCTGAAAAGACCCAAGGCCAAGTCTACATTCCGATCGTAAACTGGGCTCGTATGTATATTCGCTTGAGGACCTGCATCGAAAAACTAATGTCTCGCTAGTGATGATCGTGGTCGTTGTGGTCGTTGCGGCATTCAAAAGCTCGACCGCATTGACGAACGCATATGGGCATGTCCATTTATTCCCGAGTTCGGGGTGCTTTGCTGACGTAGCTACGCAGATTCGCCGTTGCGACTGTCATGATAACCACCACCGTCCTTATTTCTATCCAATTCAAGTATGTGAAGGGCCTGTCAGGGTGGTTAGGACTACTCTTCTTCTTGACCTTCGGCTTCTTTGAC